TGGACTAGTTGTCTCAGACCTTAAGGAATCACCAGTGGCTTTCCACCAGCTACTGTATTGGGTCTCGGGAACCACAAAGTTGCCTTGATTGGCCAAGCTCTCTTCGTGCTTCATTCACGCTTACTACTAGTTAATATATGACCGTACTTAGCTGAGGTGAACAGTAAATCTATAAGATCATAGAGGTTTTATTGTGTTGAATATTATATATTTTTGCATCATTTGCACTTATATTAAACCTTATCATTTTGATGATTGTCGGACCGAATTAATTACCAGGTTTTAGTTCATGGAAAAGCATACCCCCTATCATATCATTCGTTAGCTCTGTAATTAGTTTTAGAGAACAATGGCTTTGTTATTTTGTCCAATAATTATGAAGATGTCAAAAGCTTAATGTAACTGCACGGACAAAGTATGATTTTTCTACGGGACGAAAACCCGAAGTTGGAAAAATCAGGTATACTTTGGGGGCATTCTGGCAACAGTGCTTCCATACACAGCGACAGTTGAGTGTGTGACCGAAATAAACGTCGACAAACACTAACGAGTTCGCGTTAGAGGGCGCTAAGCAACTTGATGTTGTGTCAGCACTTGCTGAGAGGAACGCTCTGTTCGTTAATCATTTCAACACAAATACTCCAAAGAAAAGTATATCCCTACACCTTCCCAGAATGAAAACCGCCATTCGTCCTGCGATACAAAAAATACTGTGGGAAACATGGCAACTCCTTCACGTAATGGGCCATTGGTGATCTGGAATAATCTGATTGAACCAGCTGCGTACCGTGATAAAAACTTTCTGATCGCAACTCCGCGCAACTCTGCCTATTAATGCTCTGTCAGTATCCGTACCTATCTATATGCAAAAGGTGACGTTGAGTTTACATCATGCACACATGAAGAAGAAAAACAAAAAAAACGCATAAACATTTTAAATGTTGACATTGCTCTATTAGTAAAAAAAAAAAAAAAAACAGCTCTGACAAAAAATGTGTTCTGATTCGTGCATCGAGTCCCCTCGCTTGGGATCAGGTGCTGAAACCCTCATATGCAGTTACCGAGCTCAGTTTGCTATCCTCTCATCATGCCTTCTAGACCTAACCACTGTTTATGTGGCATATCGGTAGGTGTGTTTTACTGCGTAATATATAGTTTCCTCTGTTGGACAACACACTCTTACTGTACCTGCTCACTGCTTTCGAAGCCACTCATTCATTTCCAAACTTGCTACACGCACCACAACCAAACCCAAAGAGACCAACCTATACTCCTCATTTTTATATCCAGGAAGGACTATGCGCAGCTTCCTGCTTCTTCTCGTCCTCGTATTCGTGGCTATTACGAGTAGCAATGCTCTCTTGACAGCCTCACATCGCCACCAGCCCAAGACGGCAAAGTTGAAACTGGACCAAGCTGTTCAGTGGAACATCGAAGACAAACGCTTTCTTCGAGCTACGGATGCAGCTGATGAAGAACGCGGACTAGCGGGCATTAAAACGAAATTGAAGGCCTGGCTGGAAAAGTTTACCTCATTGTTCAAGAAGTCGAAATCAGCTAAGGCGGCGGCGACGACGACGACAACGAACTTAGAGGAGGTGGCTGAGAAGGTGGCGATAAGGTATCAGTCGGAGATGTACAGAAGTGAAGTGACGTTGGCGCAAGATTTGGTTAAGAAGGGCGTCGTGGACGATGTTCTTTACCAGAACAAGATCAGTCCAGAAGCGTACTTTGACGCGCTGAAGTTGGACCCAAAGCTCAAATTCATTTCCGATTCGGCTATTGCCAGGGGGAACAACCCCAACTTGGAGAAGTTTTTCACGTACTCTCTTTTCTGGACCAAGAAAAATGAGGTCACAAAGGCAGAAAATTTCATCAAGAAGGGCGCCGTGAATGATGTTCTATACCAGAATAAAATCAGTCCGGAAGCGTACTTTGACGCGCTAAAGCTGAACCCGAAGCTAAGATTCTATTCTGACTCAGCGGTTACGAGGGTGAACAACCCCAACTTGGAAAAGTTTTTATCGTATACTAGCTTCTACAACAAAAGCCAGGCCGGCAAGAGAGAAGTCGCAAAGGCGGAAGATCTGATCCAAAAGGGCGTTACGGATCAAGTTCTACTCTACAACAAAATTAGTCCAGATGCGTATTTTGAGGCGCTGAAGCTGAACCCAAATCTCAAATTCATTGCGGATTCGGCAGTTGCGAGGAAGAACAACCCGGACCTGGAGAAGTTCTACACGTATGCTACCAAGTACTACAATAGTCTGACTGGCAAATAGAATGAGTATCGATGGCCACTGATACTACATTCACGATCGTTTTGGAGGCTAAATCCGTGATT